AGACCAAAGTCAGGGACAAGGGGAGGAAGACCTTGGGAAGGGAAATATTTAGGTTTCTTTGCCCTCCTGGAGCCCTGCAGGGAGGTGGGGGCTGCATCTCTCCCTCTTCTTCTTCACACTGAGTATTTTGAGCTGAGTGTGAAAAGAGGTGAGAAGGAAGGAAGGGTAGGAATGTGGGTGTTGGGGGGGAGGTCAAAGTCACAGAAGCCTCCCCATCTCTCCAGTCTAGATCCAGTCTAGAACAACGGAGGTTATACTCCAGTGGAACTGGAGGACCAGTTGCTCCAAACAGACCAGAGGAGTCCCTGGTCAGCCCTAGCCGTCCCTGGGGGAAGTCCTTCCTTAGAAGTATCCTAAGCTCCTAGATTCGGTCCTCTCCCCCAGCTCCCACCGCCTCAAGAACCTAGGCCTCGAGCTGGAGCCTCAGCCCCTCTGGGCTTAACCCCCCTCAAGGACACATGGATCCTCCCACCCCACCCTCTACAATCCGCTTTAGCTTTGGATTAAAGGGAGGGGCCGAGGGGGACAGAGACGGCACACAGAGATATACTGAACAGTCTTGTCAGGGAGACAGGTTGAGAGAGGGAGAAAGGAGGAACCCCAAGAGGTGAGAACAGGCAGGAGATGGGAAAGGAAGAGATAGGAAGGGAGGCCCTCAGCCCACGAGACGGAGATACAGAGAGATGAGAAAAAAAGACACAGGAGGTGGAAGGGGGGGGGGGGAGGGAGACGGAGGCAGAGAAAGACTGAAATGGGAGACAGAGCAAGAGAAAGGAGAGATGGGGACCGAGATGGAGATGGAGAAACGAGAGCAGAGAGAGAGATGCAGACAGAGACGGAGACAGAGTGCGAGATACGCAGAGGCAAGAGCCCCAGTGAGCGCGCTGTCCAGGGGTCCCGGGCGGTCCTACCACCGGGCGCTCACTCACCGGTGGAGGCGGCCCAGGGCGCGGCCCGCCAGCTTCCGAAACTCGTCTTGCCGGAACTCCATGGCTCCAGCTCCCCTGGCTCGGCCTGGCCCGGCCCGGCCCGGCCCGGCCCAGCCCAGGCCCACGCTGCCCCCTCCCGGCTCCTGCTCGGGCTCCGGCTCCGGCTCCGCTGCTGCCGGGGGATGTGGACGCCCCTGCCCGAGCCTCAGCGGCAGGGAGGGAGGGAGGCGGGGCTGCCCAAGACTCCTCCCCCGTCCGCCCGAGCTGCCACCAGTCCCTGAGTGAGCGGAGGCCGGGCCCCGCCCTATAAGGGACCCCGGAGTTGGGCGCTGTCTTGAAAGACACCCCTAGACTGAGGTCCCCAGCCCCTGAGGGACCCTAGTCCAATTCTCTGGAGCCCCGTCCTCTCTCCCCTTCCATTGGAAACATCACCCCCTGGACTGTAGTAGAAATTCCCCCGCCCCGCCCTCTGAGAGACCCGGGAGTCTGAGACACAAACTCTGCCCCCACCATGGGCCCCCAAGATTCTGAGAAGCAGTACCAGGATATAGAGGGACCCTTGGCTGCTAAGGCACTTCTGTCCAATCCCTAGACCCAGTCCTCTGAGGGAACAGGTATCCAGTCCGAGAGACCCCAACTTCGGAAACTTCGCTGCTAGTCCTCTGAAGGACCCTGGGAGATTGAGACCAGGCCATTACTTTCGGAGGTAGCCAGAACTAGTGAATGCTCCGCCTGAGAAATCCCCACCCTTTGAAGGACCCCCAGGGTCGACGACCCTAACTCCCCCTCAGAAGGTGCCCTACACCTAAGATCCGAATCCTTCCTTTGAATGGATTCCGGAGTCTGACCCCCTTCCAGAAGTATTCCCTGGAGCCTGAGACAGCTCCTAGAAGTATCCCCCGGAATCTGAGATATGGTCTCAGGCCACACCTGAGGGACCCCCGGCCCAGGAAAGACCGAGATCCAAATCCTAGACCCAACCCTCGCAGGGAGTCCGGAGTCTGTGCCCCTTCTTGAAGGAGACAGTCTTCTGAGGAACGTGGGCACCAGAGATCCTGTCCCCGCCCACCAAGGAATCCTGGCGAGACGACCATTCTCTCTGAGAGATCCCAGATCAACCCGCCCAATGGGTGGAGCGACCCCTTCTCTACCACGCAGGGTCCCCAAGAGCCTGGTCGACCCTGCTCTATGTGGGATCACAGCTTCAGACTTCCGCTTCCGCGCCGCCTCTTGACAGGGGTTGGGGTCTGGATTCCGGCCGTCCATCGCACTTACTGACCACAGAGTCAGAGTCCTAAACCTAATCCCTCAAGGGACCCCGAAATCTGGCCCCTACCCCCACCGGGACTTCAGCAAACCTCCTCAAATCCCCGCCCCAATTAAGGCACCGCCTCCGCACTATATATAAACCTTAAGACCTCCCTAGGGGAAGGTCGGACGCCGGAGTTCCGCCCCCACCTCTAATCCTTCCCTCCCCCCACCCCATCCCCAGTCACTGCCTAGCCAAGCGGCCTAATGCACTAGGGGGATTAAATATTTATGAGTTCGGATGTAGCTCTCGCCTCAGGATGGGCATGGGGAGCTGGACAAGGGTGGGGTGGACTCTATAGGTCAAATGCAGACCTTCCTCCCTTCCCGAGTCCTCTGTCTCCCCAGGGATTCGTCTCTGTGTCTCTGTGCCTAATACCTCCGGTTCTACAACCGAACCTGCCTCTGGACTCCATCTCTGTGTCTCTGAGCTTCCCGTTATCTCTCAGCGTGGAGCCCCGATCTCTCAACTATCTCTTCTCGATTTTTTTTCTTTCTTTCTATAACTGTCACTGTCCAGTTTGTCTCTCTCCTGTCAGTTTCTCACCCATATCTGTCTCTTTCCATCTCTCTCTCTTCCATGTGTTTAGAGGCAGTTTAGGGGTCTCAGTGGATAGAGCCCTAAACTCAGGAGGACCTGAGTTCAAATGCTAGACACCTACTTAAGCTGTGCAACCGTGGGCAAACCGCAACCCCTGAATTCCTCATTTTCCTCGACTGTAAAATGAGGACAATAATAACACCTGCTTTCCAGGGTTGTTGGGAAGACCACATGATATAATTTAGCACAATGCCTGGCACATAGTAGGCGCTTAAAAAAAAGACTTGCTTCCTTCTTTCCTGTCTCTCGCCCACATACCTATCTTTCTTTGCCCAGGCATCCTCAGACTGCGTGTGTGTCCCCGGAGCCGTCACTGGCACAATCCCGGCAGAGAAGAAGGGGACCCAAGCGCCACCTGGCGCTTAGGTCCGAGGGCTAAGGAGGCAGGGGACCGCCTGGGTTTCTGAAAGGAAAGGATTGAAGGAAATCCCTTAAGCGAAGAGTTTAGGGGAGGATGCCCCCGAGGGTAAGGGTCAGATTAGGAGACTTTGGGCTGAGGATGGGAACTCCTGAGTCCTACAGGGACAAGGGCTAGGGATGAGGAGAAGCCTGGACCAGGCGGGCGCCGGGCCAGGTGCTGTGCAGAAAGGAGGGTTGGGCGCAGCAGATGGCAAAGGGGAGGAGGGGAGAGGAAAAAGCTGACGGCAGCCACCGTCATCCCCTACTGCCGCTTATGTCTTTGCTATGGAGACGGGGAAAGGGAAAGGAACCCAGACCCCTGAGCTCCGCCCCATAGACTCCGTTTGGGCACTGGCTCAGGCGTGGCCAGCAGCCTCTGCCCCCACCAACCTGTGGCTGGCACAGGTTGCGGACTACACGGAGCGGACTACAGCTCCCAGCAGCCCCCGAGGCCGAAGCAACGGCTCTCTCCGCAAAAGCGGCCCGAGACGCTCCTGGGAGCTGTAGTCCCAGTCATTGCCGAACGCCGGGGAAGCACCGACGAACCCCGGCTTGCAGCTGTCTCGCGGCACGGCCTTTTCTGGGAGTCGAGTCCCTCCAACCACCTACTCCTCCAGAGCTCAAGGGGTTTAACTGAGGTAGGAGGAAGACGGCTGAGCATCCTCAGGGTGTGGGGCGGGGGCTGGGACAGGCGTTGGTGCACCTTTCCCAGATCCTGCTCCCCAGAAGGACCATCACAGGCTGCCTAGTACAATTGCATGGCTTTACTTGAGAGGACACTGAGGCCCAGAGACTGAAAGTGACTTGCCCTAGGTTACACAACTGCCTTAGGGTCTTTATCTTTGATGCAAACCCAGGACTCTGACCCGAAATTCCTCGTTTTCTGCACTGTCACAGTCTCGGGGCTACTGTATCTTCCTTCGGTTGTAGACACTACGATTTTAAGGACATTAATAAACTGGAGTGTTCTCAGGCCAGCGATCAGAATGCAAAAGGGCCTTCTGATTGATCATCACGGCATGAGGATTGGTTGATGGAAATATAGATATTTAGCCTGGCGAAAACAAGCCCCGGGAACCCTAAGCTTGGTGGAGGTTCCAGTGGAAGAGATTAGATTGTTCTGCAGACTTCAGAGGCTTAGAGGGGCTGGGGGAGGGAAGGGAGGCAGGGAGATTTGCAAAGATACCGTATAGGCTGGGTGAGAGCTGCCCCAAAGTGAAACATAAGCCAAAGCACAGGAGTCAGCCGGGGATGGGGTCCCCAACCCCTCAATGAAGGCCTTCCAGCAGATATGGTGGAGAGGAGATCCTGGTTCTGCTAACATGCTTAATTGGAGACCCAAAGAATCTCTCTTCCAAGTGGGTGCTTCTGTGAGGCCAGAACCCTCGCCTCCCAACCCTGCCTGGCCAATTCAGAGTTCCAGTTTTAAGTTGGCCATTCATTCATCATGGACATATGACCACAGGTCTTCCTTTCTCCAAAACCCAGGGGATAAAGCAAATGAGGGAATATCAGAGGGATGGATGCACCCTGGGATCAGCTCCAGTCCCCAAACTAGAAAGTCCAGAACAGCAGATCTAGTCTCTGGGGAACCCCCAGGTCTCCTCCCAACCTTGGCCCCAAAGCCACCTGCCTTTGGCCCAGCTCTTCATTCCCACTAGCTGTGCTTTCTTGGAGGTTTGGGTTTTGGGAGAGAGGGGAAGAATGATTAGAGATGTGACTCCAGAAATTGATTAAAAAAATTGACATAAAGAAAGTTCAACTACTTTCAACAAATCTTTATTAAATGCTTACTATGTGAGGCCTTAGGAATAAAGACAAGAGTAACCAAATACTTCCGGCCCTCCTGGAGTTGCCAGTCTCCCAATCGATCCTACCCACCCCCATAAGACCTTCTCGAGAAGGCTCCTCACATATATGCCACCCGCCTACAAGGAGAAGGCTAAGCAAGGCTTAGCCCAGGCTTTTTCCTAGGATTTTACAGAGGCTGACTTTGACCAAGCTACTGGCTGGGGTGGGGGGTGGCAGGGCCCACCTTGGGAGGAAGACAGGACAACAGCAGGTGGGGAGGAGGGCTTCTGTGGCTCTGGGGAAATGGTCTGTGCTTGGAGACGCGCCCAAGCACGGGCACGTGTGGCGGGGCACAAGAGAGAGCCCAGCTGGGCCTCAACTTGGGCGATACGACGCATGAAGCGACTCCGATCTCGTGCTAGCTGCTCCCATGGACCCCGGCGGGCAGCACGGGCAGGACCTGCCCATACCACAAGGAGGTGAAGCTCCACGGTGCTGGAGAAGCGGACCTGGAAGGAGGCAGAAGTGCGGATGGCATTAGACAGATACAGCAGCCTCCTGATAACCCTTCCCACCACCCTCCTGTGGCTGAAATGGTTTTGCAAAATACTCATCCCCTAACCTGGTCCTCAGCCCCCTTTTATACAGCAGGAAACAGCGGCCTTTGGAGAATCACAGAAGTAGTAAGTAAAGGGGGGAGGGGAAAGGAACCAGAATTTCTTAGGCGCCTGCTACATATCAAGCATTGGCCTAAGTCCCTTTACAAATATTCCGGAAAGAAAGTGGCCTCAGAGCCCCTGTCCTCGAATCCCACCTGCATCCCCCTTCTCCTAACTAAGTTTCATATGACACAGACAGCCTCAGCAGCCTAGGGGACACACTGCTGGCCCCAGAGGCAAGTCCTAACCCTCCCTGGGCTTCAATGGCTTCCTTGAGCTGGACTGAACCAAACCTATGAGGCCGTAGCTAGCTCTGCCCTGCCTGCTACCAGCCACCCAGCCTCCCCTCCGAAGGATGGGCCAACATCCAGGCCTCTCCTCACCTTTCTGCCTGGAGGGGACTCAGGCTCTAGCTCCACAGGGGTCTGTCGGGGCCGCAGGCGCCTCTTCAGCCTCTGGGGTAGCTGGGGTGAGGGCCAGGGGGGTGGCTGCTCAGCCCCAGGAACAAAGATGGAAACACAGAAGGGCTGCAGCCCAGGGCCCACCCTGCATACAGTTTCTCCTTTGGCATCTTCCTGTTCCTCATTCTCCTCTTCAGGCTGGTAGGCCCGGGCCCTGAGCAGGGGGCTGCTGAGCACAGGAGGCTGGCTGCCTGCTGCTCCTTCCTCATCAGACGCATCTTCCTCATCCTCATCTCCTCCTTCCTCATCCTCATCTTCATCCTCTCCAGGTCTGTAGGCCCAGGCCCTGAGCAGGGGGCTGCTGAGCACAGGAGGCTGGCTGCCTGCTGCTCCTTCCTCATCAGACGCATCTTCCTCATCCTCATCTCCTCCTTCCTCATCCTCATCTTCATCCTCTCCAGGTCTGTAGGCCCAGGCCCTGAGCAGGGGGCTGCTGAGCACAGGAGGCTGGCTGCCTGCTGCTCCTTCCCCATCAGACGCATCTTCCTCATCCTCATCTCCTCCTTCCTCATCCTCATCTTCATCCTCTCCAGGTCTGTAGGCCCAGGCTCTGAGCAGGGGGCTGCTGAGCACAGGAGGCTGGCTGCCTGCTGCTCCTTCCTCATCAGACGCATCTTCCTCATCCTCATCTCCTCCTTCCTCATCCTCATCTTCATCCTCTCCAGGTCTGTAGGCCCAGGCCCTGAGCAGGGGGCTGCTGAGCACAGGAGGAGGCTGCCTGCCTACTCGTCCTTCACTATCACCTTCTTCAGCTCCCCCCATTCCCCTCTCATCTGCCTCTTCTCTGAGCTGCCAGGCCAAAGGCCAGAGCCCCTGGGGGCTGCTGTCCACAAGGGAAGGGGGACTTTGCTCAGCTGATCCTGGGGCCTGTCCTCCTACATCTTCATTCTCATTCACCTTGTCCTCTCCAGGCCAGTGGGCCCTTCGTCCCATGAGGAGGCCTCTAGCTGCTCCCTCCTCCCCCTGTCCATCATCTTGCTGGGCCAGGCCTGCAGGCCTACTGCCAGGCTTCTCTCTCCTGGCTGCTCCATCACGGACCTTCTGTTCTCCAGACCCACAGCTGGCTGGGCCTTCAGCAGTTCTTTTATCACCCTCTTTCCTCACTTGCCTAGTCCAGGGCAGGGGGCAAGAGTTGGCCTGGGCTCTTCTGACTTCAGGCCAAGCTCCTGGAGTCTGGACAAAGGTGCTCTCCTCCTCCTCAGCTCTAGCTTCAGAGTTCACAAGCTTTGCTTCTCCTCTAGGCTTGGGCTGGAGTCCCACCCTCCACAGCTGGGCCCAGGCCTGGGCCAGAAGGAACAGAAGGCCAGAAAAAAGGCTGCTCCTGAGGGAGGCCCCCAGGGGGACACCAGTGGCGTGTCCCAGGGCAGGGCTGGGCTGCAAGAGAAAGAAACAAGCAGGTTAAATTATACTTCACTTGGCGTGATTCATAGGAGGGAAACAGGAAGCCGAGCATTTGGCAAACCCACACTTCCAACCCTGACTGAATAGTCCCTCCCTTTCCCAGGCCTTGTTCCATTCCTGGTGGCCCTAAGCACTTTTACTCAGCTACCCCTTACCTAGGTTTATTTGCTTGCTTTTTAAGACTAGCCTTAACCCCAAATCACTCCAACTCTCCCTTCCCAAGATATCTTGGGGTTTCCAGGCTACATTTAAGGACAATGGCTTACACCCAAATCACTCTGGATCTCATTAATTGGCCAACAGCAGATTCCAGGCCAAATCCCACTTAGTCATCCTTGGACCCTGGCTGACTCAGAGTGAATGTAAATAGGAATTGTTTCTGTTTTGACCAGAAACCCTGAGGGGCTCCCCTCCCAGGTTTTTTTTGGGGGGGGCTGGGTTAAAGAGGCCATTCTTTGCCTCATTTTTTTACCTAGCCTTCATCACTCAAACTGAGACTTGCAAAAGACCTTAGGTTTAAAAGGCCAAGGTCTCCCACTGCATCCTGGGCCATCTCCAGTCCTCTGATCTGTGTCTGGCCACTGGACCCAGGTGGCTCTGGAGCAGAAAATGAGGCTGGTGACTTTGCACAGCCCTCCCTCACTTAAATCCAATTCACTTGCCTGTCACGGCATCACCTCCCTAATGTCATGGTCCTCTTCCAGAACAGAATGGCAAACACCACCGAAGTATATGTGCTTTACCCCTGGTTCCTAGCCCCTGAGAGCCTCATATACCACTTACAAGGCAGCTGGTGGCTCAGTGGCTGGAGCACTGGGCCTGGAGTCAGGAGCAAGACCTGAGTGCAAATCTGGCCTCAGACAACTTACTAGCTGTGAGACTTTGGGCAAGTCACATAACCTGTGTCTGCTGTAAAATGGGGATAATAACAGCACTTACTTCCCAGAATTGTGATAATATGGGCACATACCTGGCACCTGGCAGATATTAATAAATGCTTATTCCTTTTCCTTCCCTCCATCCCTCCCTCCCCGCTGGGAGTTCTCCTTGCTCACCTTGAGGATCCAAGGGTCCCTGGACCCTTCTGGTCCTCATCTTCTCAGAGATCCTGGAGTTGCCCCTCTGCCTCTCTGTTCTAAGGTTCCCAGCTCCCTGTGCCCTAACGCTGAGGTGTGTCTCAGTGCTCCTTCCCTGTCCCGTCCTGCCCTCTCAAAGGTCCCAGCCCCACTTACTGTACCATCCTGTCCCCTCCCGAGTCTCTCCCCGTCCCGTCCCCTCGGGGGCCCCGGCGCGCCCTCCCTGTCCCGTCCCCCCTCGGGACTTGCCTGGTCAAGGCTGTGCTTCATCCTGGGGGCAAGGAGGGCGTCCACAGGCACGGTGGTGTCCACGGTGGGTCCGGACTAGGGCTCATGTTGTCCACGGACCCCGAAGGCTCGGCCTCTGCGTTGGATGTCCAGCCCGGCTCTGCTCTGCCTCTGACGCCTTATTTCTCTAGTCAGGTTAGCTCTGAGATAAACACAGCTACTCAGGTCCTTATATAGTACGCGATGACGTTAGGGAGCGGAGTTTACCAACGTCCGGAAAGGGGGGCCGCGCGGGGGAAAACGAAGAACGCAACAACGTCACTCCCTCCGCCGCGGTTTCCGCAGATTGAGTCAGCTGGAATCCCCAAGGGCGGGGGAGAGATTCGGGCGCTCTGCATGAGAGGGGCGGGGCGAACAGCGAGCTCGATGACGTCATGGTCCCGTGCTTGGGGGATCCGGCGCCCAGGAACCTCCGAGAGCAGTCTGGAGCAGCCCCGCCCAGCCCTGTCCAGCCCTGCCCTTCCTCTGGACGGCGGCTCTGTCGCCCAGCCCTGTGTCACCCTCGTAGGTGATGAGGAGCCTGCCTTCCCAGACCCTGTCCTAGTCACCGACAGAAACGGAATGGTACCGGGCCGGGTGCAGAGCCCTGGGGCCCTCCTCTGGAGACCTCCAGCGGGTTTCCGTCTGAGCTGTGCTATGTGTCTCTTCCGTGACCCCTCTGAGCCTCAGTTTCCTCTCCTGTAAAACGAAGGTGTGGGGGGTGAGGGCCTTGCTAGCTAAACCTCTAATCCCTTTGATCCCTTTAATGTCACAGCACAGCGCACAACCTTCTGGCTGGACCTGTATAACCTCCTCACCCTGTCGGTCAGTCAGTCAGTCAGTCAACAATCTCAGGGCACAGTCCAGGACAGCCTTCTGGCCCAGCCTTCTCCTGCACCGCCCCCAGCCCCCCAACCCTCCCGCCCCTCAGCCGGGCTGCATGCTTCCTTTCAGCCAGCCCGGGCTCTGAGCCCCCAGTCTCTTTACTCTCGGGGACCCAAGAGGCTTGTCCACAGCCCCTTGAGTCACACCCAGACAGCTGTGGGGGCTGTGGAGCCTTGGGGTCAGGTTAGGGGAAGGGGCCGGGCCAGAGGGAGGGAAGAGCGTGGGTGGAGGAGTTGAGGAACAAGGGATAGACACAGACCAACTGGAGAGAAAGGGAGAGGTCCGGAGAGACAGAGAGGGAGACAGGAAGGTATGCGGAGGCTGACAGCGAAATCCAGGGTTAGACAGAGCCTGCTGGAGAGCCAGGCTGAAATGGGGGGACTGAGAGAGAGGGAGGCATAAAGAGAGAGAGGAGGGATAGAAGGGGGGAGGGGGAGAGAGAGGGAGGGAGGGAGAGAGAGAGGGGGAGGGGGAGAGAGAGAGAATAGAAGGGGAGAACCAGAAGGAGAGAGAGAGAAAAGAGGTGAGGAGGGAGGGAGAGACAGAGAGAGAGAGAAAGAGGAAGCCACAGACAAGGAGGAGAGAGAGAAGAGAGAGGGAGGAGATAGGCAGATGGGGAATAGAGAAACAAGGGGAGAAAGAGACAGCAAGTGACAGAGAGAAAGAGAAACAGGAAGAGACAGAGAGAGGCCAAGACAGATGCACAGGGAGCCAGGGAAACAGAGGCAAACAGGGAACAGATAGAGGGAAAGAAAGCAGGGAGACAGTGAGACGAACAAAAGGAGAGGCCAAGAAAGGGGTGAGCCAGGGAGTAGAGAGGGAGAGCATTTCGAAGCTGAAGAAGGGAGACACAGATAGGCCTGGGGGCTGGGCTCTGGGGGTCTCTGCTGATCCCATTTCCTTCATCTGGAGACCCCGGTAAGTTTCTAGCCCTGGGCTTGGGAGGGGGGGGACACAGATGTGTCTGGGTCCCTTCCTTCAGTGGGGCTGAGGGGTGTGGAGGGATGGGGTTACAAGGGCAGCCAGGCTAAGGGGTGGGAAGACACTGTGGATCTCTAAGCACGAGGGGAGGGGCAAATTCCTGGCCTGAAGGGGGGTGGTCTGGACATAAAGAGGCCTCTTTTCTCTAGCCTCCCCCCACCCAGCAGCTGCTGCAGCCACCCACCCCCTGGCACTGCCCCTCAGTATGTGGCAGGGAGCCAAGGCCTCCCCCAGCCCCGGGCTCTTCCCCCATTCTCTAACCCTCACACAAGGAGGCTTTTCTCCTTAGCCTCCCCACTGCTGGGGTCACTGACCCCGCCTGGGCTCCTTCTTCTAAACCTCCTTCAATCGTCTTCTCCTTCTTCAAGTGGCCCCCCACCATGGAGGAGGGCAGGCCCCGGAGCAGCCTCAGCTTGGCCAGCAGTGTCTCCACTGTGTCCTCCCTCACCCTCAGCAGCAAGGTGATGCAGGGGGCTGGCTGTGGATAAGGAGGGAGCTGGTGGGCTTCCATCTCCCTGTTTCAAGGTCCAGGCTCCCAAGCCCTGGGGAGGGGAAGGAACAGGGGGCCCAGGGAGCACCCAACCCCTGCTGCCTTCCAACACCCCAGAGGCTGTCCCCTGGCCCAATTCCTTCCCAACCTGGGTACTGAGGGTATCCGCCCCTGGCAAAAGACCCCACTTCCTCATTTTTATACTCTTTCCCTACCCTTTGAGTTGCTCTGCCCTTTCTTCCTCTGGCACAATGGGGCCCTGAGATCCTAATGGGGAGCCAGACTGAGAGAGAAGAATGTAAGCTTCATGAGGGCAAGCACAGCCTCAGGTGTGTCTCTATCCTCAGCACAGTCCCTGGCACAAAGTAAGCACTTTTAATAAAGCCTCCATGGATCGGACTGAATGAATGGAATGAGATCTGAGATTTCTGCCCCCCATCCCGACTGCACTTGGCCAGGACCGTAACTAAGCCTCTCCTCCTAGTGGAGCAGAGCCACTCCATTCAAAGCGCCTCCAAGCCCAGAGGCCCCAGTGAAGGGATGCAAAGGGCCTTGCTCCCCTACAATGGAGTCTTTCAAGGTCTGAGGTTTCCCTGTGCCCCCAGACAGCCCCTTCTCTGCCTCTGTCTCCCCAGCCCCCCCGGGCAGTCAGCCGAATCCATGCCTTTGGGAAAAGAGGAAGTTCCCTCCGCAGGGATCCCAACCTGCCTGTGCACATCCGAGGCTGGCTGCATAAGCAGGTACCGTGGGGCCAGGGCATGCCTCCCCCTCTTGTCTGTCGCCTCCCTGGGCCCTGCAGCTGGGCCCCATCCCCGTTTATCTGGGTGCAGGGGACTTCTGGCTTTCACCTGTTCCCTGACTGGCACTCCTTGCAGCCAGGGTGACCCAAATCTTTGCTGTCTTGCCAGCTCTGTCTCTGTGACCCTCCCTAACACTATTTCCCTTCATCTCTGCCTCCCATCTCTACTCCATCTCCTGCTACATGCTTAGATCTTGCCAATATCTGTCAGAACAGCCCTGGTTTCAGGTTCTGAAAATGACTGGTTAGTCCTGTCCTGTCACCCCATCTCCCTGTCCCTCTGTCTCTCCATCTCCCTGTCCCTCTGTCACCCCATCTCTGTGTCCCTGTCTCTCCATCTCCTTCCCTCTGTCTCCCCATCTCCCTGTCCCTCTGTCACCCCATCTCCCTGTCCCTCTGTCTCCCCATCTCCCTGTCCCTCTGTCTCCCCATCTCCCTGTCCCTCTGTCTCCCCATCTCCCTGTCCCTCTGTCTCCCCATCTCCCTCCCTGTTTCCGTATCCCCAGGTCTCTGTCTGCCTGTTGAGCTGTGAGGCTTCACCTGTCTCAGGGCACTGAGGCACCTCTGGTCTCTCTTTTAGGACAGCTCCGGCCTCCGGCTCTGGAAGCGACGTTGGTTTGTCCTGTCTGGCCACTGCCTCTTCTATTACAAGGGTCAGTGTCCAAGGGATGGGGTGGGAGGGGCATTGAGAGACCTTCCCCAGTGACCCCTGGCCCTTGACCCCCTTGCAGACAGCCGGGAGGAGAGTGTCCTGGGCAGTGTCCCTCTCCCCAGCTACAGTGTCCGTCCAGATGGGCCTGGGGCCCCCCGGGGGCGCCGATACACTTTCACTGTGAGTTAGACAGGATACTGGTGTGTCCTCCCGCCCCCCCCTGGAATCCTGTGCTAGCACTTCTCCACCCCTCCCCCCTTACCTTCTATTTGCTGTGATCCGTAGGCTCTGTACTTATCTGTGAATATATCATTCCCCCCTCCCCCCAGGATGTAAGCTGCTTAAGAGCAGAGACTATCCCTGTGGCACAATCCTGGGGCCAGTGTCCAGGACCGGGCCTGGCAAAGAGCACCAGATAAATGCTTATTCATTGACCCCCTCAAGAACTCTGGCAGCCCCCCTTCAAGCCCAGAAATCCTTTCCCTGAGCATAATGCCTCCTCAGGGACCCAGGCTCTAGCCCCCTCCTCCTCCTCACCTCCCTCTCCAGGCTGAGCACCCTGGGATGAGGACGTATGTCTTGGCTGCTGACACCGTGGAAGACCTTCGAGGGTGGCTGCGGGCTCTGGGTCGTGCCACCCGAGCGGAAGGGGACGACTAGTAAGTGGGGGCAGGATTATTGCCGCCCGAACCCGAGTCCTGATTGGGCCCCAGCTTCTCATCATAAAATGGGAAGCAATCCAAGACTTTTGTTGTGTTCAGTCCTGGCTGACTCTTCACGGCCCCATTCCAAGGTTTCTTGGCAGAGATACTGGAGTGGTTTGCCATTTCCTTCTCCAGCTCATTTTACAGATGAGGAAACTGAGGCAAACAGGGTGAAGGGACTTACCCAGGGTCACACAGCTAGTAAGCGTCTGAGGCCAGATTTGAAGTCAGGGCTTCCTGACTCTAAGCCAGGTGCTCTGGGCACTATGGCACTGCCCCATGCCCCAGGATCCAAGGATCACAGGTATAAAGCTAAAGCCACCTACGAGGCCATCTCCTCCCACCCTCTCATTTTACAGATGGAGAGACTGAGGCCCCTGGAGGCTAACAAAAGGATTTGCCTTAGGTCTCCTAGGTAGTGAGCATCCAAGGTGGAATTTGTACCCAGGTCCTCACCAGACCCTGTCTTCTTACCATTGCCCCAGCTCCCTCTGAGCCTGGGTCGTGGTGACTATGCTGGGCTTGGAGTCACGGGGGACCTGAGTCCAAATCTCACATCTGAGACGTATAGCCATATGACCCTGGCCAGGTCACTTAGCCTCCTGAGCCTCAGTCTGAATGAACGAATGGAGAAGCCTGCCTTAGGTGCTGACAGTGTGTCAGGTGCCCTGCTAAGGCTGGTGGTGATAGAAGCACAAGAAAGCAGGCTGGTCACTGCCCTCGAGGAGAATGCCTTCTACTGGGGGAAGAGGACATTTAGAACTACGAGTGGAAAGGAGGGAGGGGTGTGTGCATTCACGTATGGGTGCATGTATATGAGTGGGGGTATGTGGGTGTCCGTGTGAGGGGGTGGATGAGTGTGAGTGTTTGTGTCCACGTATTGTGCACTCGAGGGCACTTATGTGCATGGGAGAGTCTGCTGTGTGTGAGGGCATGCACATGTTCACGTGTGTGGGTTGCACGTGTGAGCATGTGCATGTAGGTACTTGTGCCCGTGTGTCAGCACATTACCTGGGTGTAAATATGCATGAGTGTGTGCATTGTGTATGTGTGTGTATTTTGTGAGTGTGCATGTTTGTATGAGTGTGTGCATACAAGTATGAGTGTGTATGAGTGTGTGCGCACATGAATGCATGTGAGCATGAGTGTTGAATGTGTACGTGTGCGTATGAGGATGTGTTTGTGTACATGTATATACAAATGTGTGCATGCGAATGGCCTTGTAATTCTCTCCCTGCCCAAGGCAGAGCTCAAACAGCAGTAATGATAATAACCAGCCGGCATTTGTAGAAAGAGCACTTTGAGGTTTTCAAAGCAAACCTTCAAAACACAGGTGCCATTATTGTCCCTGTTTGACAGTTGAGGAAACTGAGGCAGGTAAAGGTAAAGTGACTTGCCCAGGGTCAGAGGCAGGTTGAACTCAGGTCCTCCAGACTCACGTCCGGTGCCCTATCCGCTGCGCCACCTAGTGGTCAGTTTGACTGGACTGAAATGGACCAGGTCACGTGAGCCTTCAGCCTGGGAGGGTCCTCTCTCCTCTGGCCTCCAGGGCCAGGCTGAGGAGATAGCAATTTATCCTAGAAGCAATGGGGAGCCACTGAGGATTCTTGAGAGTGGGGAGAAGGTGTTACCTAACAAGATGACCGCTACAGGAGTGTAGAAGCCCTGGATTCCAGGGAATGCTCCTGAGTGAGCCCTAGCCCAGAATCATTTCTATCTGCCTTCTCTCCCCCTGCAGTGGCCCTCAGACCCCACCTGCTGGACCTCCAGCTGGAGAAGGCCCTGGGGGTCCTGGGGGACCCCCTGAGGTGGGGAGCAGTGAAGAGGGCCTCAGTGCTGAATCTCTGGAGGTGGCCAGGATCTCTGGCAGACACAGGGAGCTCACCCCTAGCCCTCCACCTGGGCTTCTGGGGCCACCCCAGAGGAGCAGGCAAAGGGCAAGGAGTCCTGAGTGAGTGTGTGTGTCTGTCTGTATGGGGGTGGGGGTGCGGGTGTGGAGGGGAAGGGATGTAAGGTGGAGGAAGGGGCTCCCAGTCTCAGGAAGCCTCCTTCTCCCCTAGGCTGTTTTCTCCCCTCTCCCGGCCCCCATCACCCCTGGGCCTTCCCCGGCCACGCTCAGCCCCTGCCCACCGTCCCTCAGCTCTGGTGGGGGGAGATACCCGGCCCCACACCCCGCTGAGCCGGATTGATGTCCGACCCTTACCTGAGTGGGCCCCAGCCTCAAGAACCCTGTCCCAGCCCTCCACTCCCCAAGGAGCACCACCATCAGAGACAGGAGCACTGAGACCCCCCAGGAGCTCCCAGCACTGGGCCACTGAACTCAGGGCCAAGGTGAGTGACCCTAGTAGACAGGAAAACCATACCACCCGTGAGGCCTTAGGGCTTCCAAGGTTCAAAACTAACACCTGTGCATTGAAAGCAAAATGGGAATTGTAGTCCACGGTGAAGCCTGTGTGGTCCCCTGTGGAAGGGGAGAGTCTGTGAGGCAGTCCAGTAGGCTGGCTGATGACCATTCTTGCTAAGACATTACGGAGATTTTAGGCCATTGTCGGCCAGGCTTGGGAAGGCCGCCTATGCGTGTGGAGCTCCGTCACCACCCATGGCTCCCAGAGGCTCTTGGGGGTTGTTGCTAGTTTGCCCCTTAGTGGGAGAGACTGAGGCTGGTAGTAGGGCCTCCTGGGGAGAGGAAAGAGCCCTTCCCTTGTGGTGGAGCCAAGAAATCCTACCTCTGAGGCCCCGAGTATTCCCCCTACATCCCCCATCCCTCCAGGTTCCTTCACACTTAGAGTGACCCTGACCAGCTTATTACATGCATCTCCCAGAATCTTGGTTTTCCTACCTTTGAAAGGAGGAAGGAAGATACCTGTGGGACCTCCCCTACTCCCTAAATTGTGCCTGGAAAAGTTCTTAGTAACCCTGCCTGCACCGTAGAAATGAATGACTGGAAGACGCCTCTTCCTTTGGACTAGGCACTATGCCTCACCGGGACAAGGGAGAGGAGCCCCTGCCCTCACTGAACTTACATTCTAAATCGAGGTGGTGAACCTTGCTCTGAGCACACCCCTCCGCCCCCCAATACTTTCCTAATGTCTCCGCAGGCAGTGTCCGGATATCTACCGCTGTCCCCCAGGCCTCCGGGAAGTCGGGGCTCCATGGCCTCTTTGGTAGGTGTCTCCCCGCCGGCCCCTCGCCATGTAGCGGGGTTGTGTGACCCTCTAGAAACCCAGGCTGCGGGGTCCCAAAGGCCGATGCTCATGTGGTTTCCTTTGCAGCAGCCTCCGCACCTGCAGTCAGGCCCTGGACTGGATTCTCCCCTGCACCGCAGCGCTGACACAGATGTGAGTCTGGGGCCTGGCGCAGCGGAGGTGGTGGTGAAGGGGGTGGGACTGAGCTCCTTTACCACCTTTGGCAGCGTTCTGGGGAGAGGGAGAGACTTCTGACCTGGGCCAGGTCTGTCTGCTCCGCAGGCGCTCCTGACTAAGCTCTGCGGGCAGGACCGGCTCTTGAGGAGGCTGGCAGAGGAAATAGCAAAGAACCAGGAGGAGAAGGTGTGTGGGGGCAGGGGAGGGGAGGGCATGGAGCTGAGGCAGAGAGGGGTGGCATGGTGAGGCAGGGGAGGGGAGGTGGTGGAAAGCACTGAGGACTGGGAGCATTCGAGGGGGATACAGTGAGAGCTAGGGGCCAGCTAGGGGCTACATGAAATGTAGCCAAAGGGAGAAGGTGAAGTCTGAGGGGCAGGGGCACAAAGTCGCTAGGAGGATGACTTCCTGCACCCCCCTCTAACTATCCTCCGCTCCTCCTCGATGACAGGAGAGGCTGGAAGCAGCCCTGGAGCTGACCCGCCGGGCTGTGGGGGAGCCTGGGCCCGGAGGCAGGGCCTGGTCTCGCCTGCGGCTTCTGCAAGACCGCCTGGTGGGCGTCAGAGCAGCCCTCTGCCACCTGGCCCAGGTGAGGGACCCAAGTGAGCACTTCTAAGACAGCCTGCTCTGATACCACTAGCCATTCTTGAGGGAAATGTCCTTTCCGACCCTGGCTGGCTCTGCCTTCTTAGGGGTTTCTGGCAGGCTGAGGGTCCCAGGAGCCAAACCAGGGAAATGGGGGTGGGGAATGGAGTTTACCAGGGCTGGGATGAAGCCTCACTCTGCACCTCCCTTTTTTCCTGTCCTTGGAGGAAAGGGAGCGGGTTTGGAATACCTATAGCAGCCTGGAGCAGGAGCTGGGGACTCTGCGGGAGACCCTGGAGGATCTGCTTCACCTCGGGCCTCCTCAGGTACTTGGGTCTTGAGCCAAGCCTCCCCCCATTCCCTCTCCCTCAGCTGCTCCAAGCCCTGCCCCTCCTGCCTAAGCTTCTCCTCTTCTCCCTTGCCCACTTCCCAACCCCTAATCCTTCCAGGCCAGGGTCTCTGCTCAGCAGCAGCTATGGATGGTGGAGGACACATTGGCCGGACTGGGGGATCCGAACTGGGGGCGTCCCCATGGAGATGGAGATGGAGATGGGCCTGGAGCCCTGCCAGGTGAGATATGCCCTTTAGGGTCCCCAGCCTTTTTCATGCCCACTACAACTTTCCTCTGTACTCCACCCAGGTCTTGGATCACCCAGCTCTCCCCGTGCCCAAAGCCCAGACGGCCAATGCTCTCCATCCCCTGCCCCCTCTCCATCCCCTCCACCACCAACTGGGCCTAAGGTAGGAGCCCAAGGAAGATCCCAGGCTATTGTAGAGACATCAGAATCTGGAGTGGGGGGAGGGGAGGAGTACAATCCTGGCGCTGCCACAAGTACTGGCCAAGGTGACCTTTTGGTTCCTGGATATCTCTGTGCCTTAGTCTGTAATATGAGGGGATTGGACCTAAATTGCAAATCTGTTCTGTCCTGTGACCTGAATCTCCAGGGTCCCTGGGAGCTTAGGGTTCCTGTCCCTTCCTGCCCTCATCTGCAGGCTCCAGCCTCCCGGGTCCGGATGAGTGCTCAGGAGCAGCTTGAGAGGATGCGGAGGCACCAGGAGGCTGGGAGGCTAAGGCTCCGGTCGCAGTCTCCTGGGGAAATTCGTCCCTCAGCAGTTCCAAGGCAGCTGGAGCCTGGGTCAGAGAGAGACGTGGTGAGCCAGTCTTCCTTTTGGCTTGAAATAGGCTGGGCTACCAGCAGGGGCAGGGCTGGGGAGCCAGATCTCATCTCAGAGGAAGCAAGGCTGGGAGTTAAGACACTTGGGTCCCCCTGGCCCCTCGCCCTGCTCTGGGCGAAATTTACATTCTAGCTTCTCTTCTCTTAGCCTCTTCTGGACTCCATGGCTCATACAGGGGCTCCTCAGCAGTGGGCCCGGAGTTCTGGGTCCTGGAGCAGGTAAGAAATTTGGACTAAGTGGAAGATGCCGGTGGCCCCTGGCACCGAGGTGATGAAGCTAAAGCCTTAAGACTCTGACCTCTTTCCCAATCACTGTGTGATGTTCCTTTTCCCTGGGCCTCAATTTCCCCATCAGTAAAATGAAGGCAGAGTTGGACTCAATGACTTTTAATAGCCAAGCCCTGGCCCCAACTCTCCCACGATCTTTTATGCTGGGGAAAGGCAACACAGCTGATTTCAGCCTGGGCTGGTGTGATAACAATATGTCATGTATTAAGGTCTTACTGTGTGCCAGGGCTGGAGAGAGAAAGAATGAAAAAGCCCCTGCTCTCAAGAAGCTGGTAGTCTTTCCAGGAGGTATAGTAGGAAAAAAAACAGTGCTGGGTTCAAATTTTAACTTTGTCCATTAGTTATTATCTATGTGATCCTGGGTAGATATTACAGACTAAGGCACAGAGATTCCTCCTCCAGCCCTACCCTCCTCTCACCTGACACCCCAGCTTCATCTGATCAGTAACTGATATTGCACAGGTATTAATACATGTAGGCTCGCCTTCTGAGCCTGGGGGAGGGGGAGTGTCTAAATTAGTCACCTCAGTTCCCTGGGCCACTTTAAATCGTCGTGTAGCTTGGAGAATCAAATATCCAGGCTAGATTTCCCATGGCTCGCTGATTCCCTCCCTACGTTTGCAGCTCTAGGAGTCCCAGGTCCTACATTCCATCCCCTGAAGGACATCGGGAAAGGGTCCTCAGCCTGTCCCAGGCTCTGGCGACCGAGGCTTCGCACTGGCATAAGTTTATCACAGGTCAGGGACTGGGGGACAGGGGACACCGGGCCCCTCATGGGAATTGTAGTCAAGAGACCTAGATATCGCCGTGAACCGGAGCGCTTGGCTACGGACTCCCGGGTCCCGAAGGGAGAGGGAGCTGGGTAGCCGGGACTCCTGGGTTCGGGAGGGAGAGGTGGAATGAGTAGCCAGGACTCCAGGTCCTGGAGGGAGCGCGGGACCGGGAAACCGGGCCGCCCGAATCTCCGGCCTGCAGGTTTGACCCATCTGCTGAAACCCTACATACAGGTCGTAGCCCTGAAGCAGCTCAGGACTCCACTTCCAGGCTGACTCCGCCCCCTCGCTCGCCTCCAGTAGGGTCCCCGCCCCCCGTGGGGCGGGGCCGAGGGAGCCCCACCCCCTGGGCCCCTACGTGGGGAGGGGCGGCTCCACCAGATGAAGGGACGTGGCCTCTGCGAGTTACCCTGCTCCAGTCCAGTTTCTGACACGCCAGCAGAGCTGCAGCCAATTGGAGGTGGAGGTAGAGGCAGGGCCAGACTCCGGGGCCTGAGGTTCCTCTCACCACCGTCCGTTCCTCCAGCCCTCCAGCCTTCCATTCTATACCAGTCTTGATTAAACTCGGTTGTGATCACTCAGGTCCTGGCTCCGCCCTCCTTTCCTTCTGGGGCCTGGACGTCTACCTCCCTGATTGGGCTGAAGCAGAGGTAGGGCACGCCCACCTCCTCTGGGGTCCTGTCTGACCCTCTTCCCGCCGGCTCCTTTGAAAGCCAGAACTACATCTCCCAATAGGCTAGGGGGCGTTTTCCATTGTTGGCCTTGCTCTTCTGCCCGCGGGACCTCGTGGGAGTTGTAGTTTTTTGACAATTCCCTAACCCGAGGATGGGGGCGGTGCTAGGGCAGGGTCTCCTAGGAGCCTGGGCGGGGTTTGTGGAAGGAGACGCCTAGATCTCCCTGGTTGTGGCCGGGGCAAAAGTCTTATCGATCTTCCTTGTAGAGGTTAGAACAGGGGTCCTAGGCTTGTGGGCGGAGGAAAGGGGAGCAAGGAGAGGAAGGGGATGGTCGCTGGAGGTCTTTGGACCTAAAAGGGGCGGGAGCTGCTGTGACAGCGCTTTTCTAGTCTGGACTCAAGATCTAACCCCAGTGGTTGCGGAGGGACAAACACCGAAGGAAAGACAATCGTCCTACCTGAGGCCACTGGTCCCGGGGGCTGGAAATGGCTGCGGGTCCTAGCAGCGAGGGTCGGGTGGTCTTGGTGACCGGCGGTGCTCGGGGTATAGGCGCTGGTATCGTGCGCGCCTTCGGTGAGCCTGGACTTGGGGAGGGCTGTGGAGGGGATGGCCCTGGACCCCCACAATCCGGGATGATGGGCCCTCAAACTCCCGTCGCGCGATGGATCCTTTAGCCCGACGTGTAACCTGAGGTCGAAAGAGAGGCAGTATCTGGTTGAGTGAATAGTCTTCCAAGCTGGGGTAGGGCTGGAGGAAGGGATTAAGGCCTGGATAGTTCCCCAGGGGGTGTGGAACAAGGCCCTCGAGAATCAGCTAAAGTGGGGTAAGGGAAAGGAGACGCTTGGACTCCTGTTGTGAGAGCCCGTGGAGGTGGGGCTATCGGAAAGTGTCGCCTAGGTCCTGGGGATCTTGTGCCTGAGGCGAACCTGCCCTTCGTCCTAGCTATCTTGGGATAGAAATCACGAGTTAAGGGAGGGAAGTTCTGGGGCCACCAGCAGCGGCCAAGAAGGGGAACCTAAGGGTCTGAAACCCTGACCCACGAACTATCTCCAAATCCACCCCCTCTTTTGCCTCCTAGTGGAGAATGGTGCTAAAGTGATTATCTGTGACAAGGATGGTAAGAGAGAGACCCAGGTGATCCCTTCACAGCCTCAGGGACCCAGGCTCCCAGCCCCTGCCCCACCAACTCAGTGACCAAGGTGTCTGTCCACCAGCCCCCTCCCTCTCAGGGACCCAGGATCCCCCTCCCCCAGCCCCTCAGTGATCACGACCTCCCTCTCCCCTAGCCCTTCAATAATCCTCTGTCCTGTCCCCCAGCCTCCTCCCTCTGAGGGACCCGGCACCTCCCCTCCTCTAGTTCAGTTCCCTGGACCCCCTGCTACCATTCAGATGAGAACTCCAGCCCTGCTTTCTCCCCAGAGTCAGGTGGCCAGGCTCTTGAAAAGGAATTGTGTTTAGTCCAGCCACCAGCAGGCGCTGTCTTCATCCGATGTGATGTGACCAAAGAAAGAGAAGTGGAGGTGAGCTTCTCCTCCCCCTGTTGAGGTTTAGGGGTGCTGGGACCCCAAAATAGGGACACAGGGGAATGAATTCGACCCAATCTGTCTTCTCTCTCTCTCTCTCTCTCTCTCTCTCTCTCTCTCTCTCTCTCTCTCTCTCTCTCACACACACACACACACACACACACACACAAAATCCACCCATCCATCCACCCCTCTGCTTCTGGGTTTCTTTGGGTCTCTGATCTTGCCCTTCTCTGTGGCCCATGTATGTGAGCAGCTGAGGGAGGGAAGAGAAAGAGGCTTGGGAGAATTCCAACACTCAGCTCCCCAGCATTCCCTGTCTGAGAACTCCAACACTCAGTTCCCCAGCATTCCCTGTCTATCTCCCTTCCCCAAATTTTGACCTTGACCCAGTCTTCATGTCTCTTTCCTCCACATCTCCACAAATCCAGTTCTTCTGTTCACACTTTTCTGGGGTTTCTTCCGGCTACATCTCTGCGAGCCTTGGCATCTCTGCCTGGAGATGTCTCTGTCTCTCATAGACTGTCTCCGAATCTGCCAGTCTCCTAACTCTCTGGTCCCTTATTTTTGGGGTCTCTCAGGCTCTGAGATTTTGCCTCCTGGCCTACAGGCCCTGATCTTTGAGACTCTGCAACGTTTTGGCCGCCTGGACTGCTTGGTGAACAATGCTGGACGCCGTGAGTCTCCCCACCTCCCCTTCACCCTCCCATCCTCCATCTCTGGCCTCTATTCCTCTTATTCTTCTTCCTCCCTGCCTAACTCAGATCCCCCAGAGGAGATACTGGAAGAGACTTCCTCTCAGGCCTTCCGAGACCTGCTAGAACTGAACCTCCTTGCCACATACACAGTGTCGAAGGTGAGCGCTGCCAGAGGTGCCCAGATCATTCGGGTCTCTGGAGTCCCACCAGGGAATCCCCCAGTAACAATGACCTCAGACAAGCTCCTTCCTTTCATAGAATCCCAGAGCCTCAGCCTTGGAAGGGACCCCTTGGACCCTCAAATGAGGCTCATTAGGGAAAGAGCAGTGTGGCCCAGTGGACCAGGAGCTGGGCAAAGCCAGGTTCTCCATCTCCTGCTGACTTTGACTAGCTCTGTGACCAAGGTCTCAGCCATATGCAAAAAATAATACCAGTATTTCTTGTTGAGTGGCTTCTGTGGGATTCGTGTCCCACAAACCTCCAAGCCATTAGGGAATTATTCCATTTCCAAACAGGACATCCTGTCTGGCCTGTCAGGCTATCAGACCTGCCCCAGGGAGCCCCCTACCCCTGCCCTAGGCAGTCTGTGATTGCTGACTGTCCTGATTTGTTTCTCAGAGCCTGGGAACTGAATTACAATTAACTCTGTTTGGACTCTAGTCTTCTTTGTTTACTGGTTTGGGGCAACTAGCCCCTGGGATTTCCCAGATTTCCTGATGGGAATGTCCCCTCCCAGGTAGCCCCTCAGCTGCCTAGTGTCCCAGTGATTTTCCCAGGTCACACAGACAGCACTTGACCAAGCAACAGCTTGACCCTGGGTCTGGGTTTGGAAGCTGCAGTCCTGGCTTGAAATTTCAGCTCAGCCAGTTATTGGTGAGCTTTGTGACCTTGGGCACCTTACTGGACCTCTCAGTGTCCAAGGCATCCCCTTAAGCCAGGTTTCTACCCATTGCTACTATCATTTATCAATTGTTATTAATTATTATTTCAGTTGACTGGGCTGTGGAGGAAAAGTTAGCTTTGTTCTAAACTTGACTCTGCCTCATAGGTGGAGTCTGTGTAGAGCTAACAGGCCAGACCTCCCCACCCCCACCCCCAGCACCTTTCCCCTCTTACACAATAGGCCAGGGCTGAGTTTCCAGAGCATGTCCCAGCCCCTAAGCTAACCCTGGCCCTGCCTTGCCCAGATCATCTTTGTAGCAGAATATGGTACCTGAAACGGTGAGTAGTAAATCAGAGGACCTGCTTTCCAATCTTCTGTGACCTTAAAGCATGCCCCACTTTCCATCACAGTCGGTCAAGCAGAGAGGCCTGGAGAGATTCCAGGTTTTCTGAGGTTGGAAGTGGGCTTTTTTTAATCCTTCTAAAATTAGATTTTTTTTTCAAATAACAAAAATATAACTTCTGTCATTTCCCACTTCCCTTTAGAAGAGAAACAGAGAAAAAAAAACCCAACCCCAAATCGCTGTTACAAACATATATAGGCTAGCAAAAAAAAATTCCAGCATTGGCCATGTCCCAAAACTATGTAACTCAATCTGTCCTCTGAGTCACCTGTCTCCATCAGGCAGTCAGTCAACAAGCATTTATTAAGGCTCTAGGCATCGTGTGGAAGTTCTAGAAACACAAAGAAATGGGGAGAAACCCCAATCCCTGCTCAGGGTGTTCAGTCTTTTTGGGGAAACAACATGCAAACAAGTGGGTACATACATCATATAGGTGACCAATGGGAGGTCATGATTTGGGGAAGGCACCAGCCTTGATGGGCTCAGAAAGAGTGACTTCGAAGCCAGAAGACTGAGATGGGGAGGGAGAGAATTCCATGTGTGGGGGGATAGCCAGTGAAAATGTTGAGGGAAGTGGCTTCTTCCTGGAGCAGTGAGCAGGCCACCCACCATCACTGGATGGAAGAGTACGTGGGAGTGTGGGGAAGGTACTGAGGGGCTTCAGAAGTCAGAGAAGATTTTGTATTTGATCCTGGAGGTCATAGGGAGCCACTGGAGTTTACTGATTGTGGGGTGGGAGCGGTGGGGAACACGGTCAGAGTTTTGATTTAGGAAGATCATTTGGGCCACTCAGTGGCCCGGAGTGAGGAGAGACTTGAGCAGGCAGATCAATCAACTTATTGTTGGTTCATGTCCGACTCTTTTTGACCCCATTTGGGGTTTTCTTGGCAAAGATACTGGAGTGGTTTGCCATTTCCTTCTCCAGTTCATTCAACAGATGAGGAAACTGAGACAAACAGGGTTAAGTGACTTGCCCACATTCACTCAGCTAGGAAGTGTCTGAGGCCAGATTTGAACTCATGAAGATGAGTATTCCTGACGCCAGGGCTGCTGCAGCACCACCTAGCTACCCCAGGACAAACAGCAGCCTACTGTTGGTATATGGTCCAGATGGGAGGTGAAGAGGGCAGAAAACAGGATAGTGGCAGTATCTGAGAGGAGAAGGTGGCATATTTGAGGTGTCATGATGATAGAAACAGGACTTGGAAACTGATTGGATGGGGGGAGGGGGAGAGAGTGAAGAGTTGAGGGTGGGCACCCACATTGGGATCCCAGGTGACTGGGAGGATGGAGGTGCTTTCTACAATGATAAGGAAATTTGGAAGAGGGGAGGGCTTGGGTTCTGAGTTGGATTTGTTTAAGATGTCTATGAGACATCCATGTTAAGTTGGTCAGTAGGTG